TCAGGGCATTCCTTTCCAGATGATGTTTGGTGTTAAACCAGATATCCACCACATTAGAAAATTTGGTGCAGTGGCATATGTGCACGTTCCAGTAACGCCAGGCAAACGCAAGCACCAAGATAATGCTAAGGTTGGTTTTGTTCTCGGCTATGCTGAGGATGTGGTTGGGTGCAAGGTCTACTTCCCGGAAGAGCGTACTGCTAAGTTCGTAGCAGATCTACGAGTAACCGAAGACGTAATGTACCGAGATCGACATGGAATTTCTGTGGATGACTCTGACTTGGAGTCGCTGCACTTCGAACAAGCAAGTGTTGACAACTTGTCCGTGGAGAAATCTAATAGTTCGGAAATGACTGAAACATTGTGTCTCGAGGGAGGTGAGAGTGGTGCAGAGGGTAACGAGCCACAGGATCAGGTTGATCTGATGGAGTCTATGCAGGATAGGGAGGCGATACAACTGGAAGATGTGAGTGCAGTTCCTAGTGTGAAAGGAGTTACTGTGGCCATTCCAAGTAAAGCTTGTACTGTGAAAACACCGACCTTGGTTGGTGTAGGCACAGAAGCTTGTACTGAACTAGAGGATGTTGCTGAAAATGAAGTAGCTGTTTCTGGTTCGTCAAAGAAGTCTTGCTCACAATTGACTGCAACTGTAGTATCTGGGCATAGCGACAACGAAGAAAGTGAACCAATTGCCTCTCCAGAGAGCGCAACGAATCTGTGGTGGGAACGTGTGGATCTACTGCAGGATCAGAGGTTCGAGAAGACAATGAGGAGAACAGCGATGCTGATAGCATTGCTAGTGACGGTGATGAAGTCGATGAGGACATGACTTTGGCTAGTGTGTGTGGATCACCACATATGGATGACGTTCTACTAACGGATGATGCACATGGTGATGAAGCTGGTAAACGTGTAATTGAACGAGTTGCCCACTACTGCTACCCCAACAGACAGGGAAGCGAACACATCGGAGCGAGACATCTTCGGCCGAGTTGCGAGTTGAATTGAGCGCTAACAAGCAACAACCCAAAAGGACGCGAACAGGATTGCGAGAGACGCCTGAGCGCAAACGACCGAACTACTTGAATGACTACGTGGCTAATGTGGTGCAGAGTACAGCACGGATTCTTGACAAGAATGGAAGACCCATCAGGGCTAGTAACGTGCGAATACCACGGAACCATCGTGAAGCGATGAGATCAGAATTTCGGGACTTCTGGCGTGAAGCAGAGCTGGAAGAAATGGCGGCGTTAAGAGCAAAGGGGGTGATCGAAGAGATTCCCGGGGAAGATGTTCTGAAAGACGCAAAGCTAATCAACACGCGGTGGGTGTACGCGGTGAAATCAGACCACCAAGGATATGTGATCCGATTCAAGTCGCGAATAGTGGCTATGGGAAACCACCAAAGGTCAGGAATTGACTTTGTGGAGACGTTCGCTCCTGTTGCACGCATGTCATCTTTCAGGTTGGTGGTAGCGCTGGCAACTCTATTACATCTGAATTTATATGGAGGTGATATCAACACGGCATACTTGAACGCAATGCTGGGGATTCGACAATATTTGAAGTCCATTGATGGGTTCCCTTGCGGAATTGACGGTCACGCGTATGTGGTAGTGAAAGCATTGTACGGCTTAAAGCAGTCGGGCAGAGAATGGAACTCTGAGTTAAATCGTTGGCTACTGGAGAACAGCTATCAGCGGTCGCTGACGGATCCATGTCTCTACTACAAGTTGGACGATGACAGTATCATGCTGGTACTCGTGTACGTAGATGACATCTTAGTTGCCACAGACGACGAAGGCAAGAAGTGTGAGCTGTTCAATGTATTGGATAAGGTGTATGGAATTAAAGATCAAGGTCTGCTCACATCCTACCTAGGTGTTGAGGTAAAACAAACTGCTGATTGTGTTACGATCCGGCAAAGCCAGTACGCACGTGAGATCTTGGAGACGTTTGGATACCAAAACGCGCATGCTGTAGGAAATCCGATGGAAACGAATGTACGGTTAGTTCCACTACGTGAAGACGAGGAATCAGACACAAGCTTCGCTTACCGACAGGCCATAGGAATGTTAATGTATTTCGCCACTGGATCACGGCCAGATTTGGCATTCGCAGTTGGACAGCTGAGCCGATTTGTCTCAAAGCCGTCTGCGAAGCATGTTGGTGCGGTAAAACGAGTACTAAGGTACTTAGCTGGCACAGTGGATGTAGGAATTACGTACAGCCGAACCAAGGATATACCAGAGGTGGTAGTTCTCGATGGCTACTGTGACAGTGATTGGGCCAATGACCCCTCATCTAGAAAGAGCACGACAGGACTGGTGTTTACCTTGGCAGGTGGGGCAGTGTCTTGGATGTCGAGACGCCAAACAATAGTGGTGCTATCAACAGCAGAAGCAGAGTACGTGGCAGCCTGTGAAGCAGCAATGGAAGCCAAGGCTGAGAGCAACATTTTGCAGGAGATCCTGAAAGCGAAAGATATGAATCTGAAGATTGGGATCGACAATCAAGCTGCCCATGTACTAGCAACAAACCCGACATATAGTCGGCGAACTAGGCATATTGAATTGCGCTGGCACTATTTGCGAGAGCAAGTCCCTAAAGGCGTGATCGAGTTGCACAAGGTGGACGGCAACGTGAATCCTTCGGATATATTCACGAAGCCGTTGGACAAGCATCGATTGCAGAAATTACTGCAACTCATGGGCATTGGAAATGCTCAGGAAAGAACTGGAGTGTAAGAAGTGCATCAGTGAATTGCGAAGCATGCGCTTCGAGGGAGGCGTGTTAGGATGCACATTGAGACAAGACGACCAAGGAGGTTGAAGATCAAGTTGGGACCCGTACATCGTAAGACCAAGAAGGATTAAGAAGCAGGGAGCTGCGGGCCTTTGCATGTTAACGGGCAGTTGCTCGAGTTTAGTTGAAGGAAGAGAGAAAGAGAGAACGAAGCTAGCTAAACAAATTTAACCACTTTTCCTTTTCTCATTTGGTGTACACGCTAACTAGTGGAATCGATCTAAACTCTAATATCTGCTGCGGCTAACGGCTATATATCCTGACACACAAGGTTAAACGAAGCTTGCAGAGCCACTCAGCATAATTATGCGTATATAAACTGTCTTTGAACCGTCGTGCGGATCCGGGTTTGCTTGAACCGTTGAACCGAGAGTTGGTTGGAGTGGCTTTTTCTTCTGAACCATTATTGTATTGCAATAATTTCTGGAATATGTTATTGTACTGGATTCTATTGATGGCAATAATACCTATTATAATAAATAAAAAACAATAATTGCATTTCCGCAATTATTTTTCCGTGGTCTGGTTTTAGGATACTGGCTCTAGCAGTTTTAGACGTCTTAAAAGACCTGCAATCAAAGAGAGAGATACAGGAGGGGTGGCAAACTTGACCTGCCTGAGCAGTTATTGTTGTCATCTAAAAAACCGGTTGCCGAATTCATCGTTCCCTTGTCACGGTCATCGAGGGCGTGATCTGTAAACGAAATTCGAAGGGAAAGAGAGCAATTCCAGCGAGTTACCATCTTTTGTGGTGAAAAGTCAGTAACTTACACAAAGTAAAGTGGCGCTCCCGACCCAAGGAAGCTCTGAAATTAAAAAAATAAAAAACCGAAGGCTACTACCTGCGTTCCAGACTCACGTCATCGAGACACACATACTATTCTACTTATTAGACTAATAATAATTAATAAATAAAGTAGAGCAGATAAGAGAGTGGCAGTACGAGGGCGTTTGGGGTATACTCCGCCAAAGAATAGCAGTCAGGCGATGCTAATCCAAGTAAAACAGTGTTCAAGAACGGAGAACCAACAGATAAAGTATATGAAGAAACGGAAGTGATCGTCCTAAGTTGTAATCGTTCAACTCCAGTAGCTTACGCAAGGGGGTCGTAATATGAAAAGCAGTGCAAACAAGATCGGCCACTATAGTCCAGACAACACGGAATAAGTACCATAGGGTAAGTCCAATAAGTCTGTTACCGTTTTCATACCCCTAACAAGTTTTGTATTGAAAGTACTCACAATGAGCTGATTAAACCGAAAATGGTCATCGATGTCGTACTGATATTCTAAATGTTATGGACAAACGCTAACATATATTTGGTTCTGAGTGATGCAATTGTGAATTTCTCATCAACAACTAAAGAATTTGAATTCTGTTTCCACTAATTAATCTTTTTGCAGTTGGAAATCTCGATTAGAGTAGAAAATGTTGCCCGATGGTCGCAGAAAGACTAATATCTGTGTAATCTACACGGCCTGATGATACAGGCAACATTTGTCAAACACATCTTGGACAGGTTTTGAAGTGTTTGGTGCTTCATTGTACATACGCTAGGATTAAGATAAACTTCTTTTGCAGTTTATCTTATTATTACCAGTTTCAGTACAACAATCTGATTAGCGAGAATTTAGCTAAATCAGGCCAGGGACTCGGATCGCACCTTATCTCTGAAATATATTCCAGAAATCCAAGTCGTACTCCCCCGAAGAACATAGTATATAAAATAAAAACTACACATACACAAAGTCTTAAGTTACCCAGAGTAATCCAACGCTTCTCCTGCGCCTGTTGTGCAGCCGCAGCACAGGTAAGGAGCTTGAAATAGTAATAGTGCCTCTTGTGAGCACGAACATCTCGGAATGCACAAGGAATTGTATCTCGCTTAGTATATTTATGCGAGACTGCAAAGACGTGAAATCTGTTTCAGCGGTTGCTGTGTTCGATACTGGTATGCTGTTCAAGCTGGAAAAGGTCATAGATGTCTTGAGTTAAGTGTTCTTCTCTTCGTGAAACAAAATATGACCTGTAGTTCCTTCTGTTTCATCTTCTGAAGTATGCAGCACAAACTCTCGCAATAACGAAGTCTACCTCGTTATCATCGCGTTTAGCACTGGCATATCCTTTTGATTAGCTGCCGTTGAGACGCTTTTAATTGAATATGCACTTTCACAATAGCTAATGCCACACTCCTTATGGGCAAGTGTGCTATTATTTTTTTTTTAGTTCCTGGACAACTCAAGGTTTGGAGCTACATTTGTGGTAATGTCTCTTTGGTCCAATAATATTTGATTTTACGCTGGATACAAGCGACCCTTCACACCTTCGATAATTTGGATCCTCTCTGTTAGTGACTATAAACACTTTCGCGAGGGGATATTCCCGATTTCATGACACAGAAGTATTTCCACATTCTGAAATGGAAGCTCTGTTTTGCCAAACATCGTCTCAAATGTATGCAATAATTAAAAGCATGCCCTAACGTTTTCCTACTATCGCTTGAAAATGCATGTAAAAAGGAGTAGTTGATGATATTAAACAGAGTAAAAAACTGTTATTTCTCATTACAGCGTGGACTTGACGTGGCGTCGGAATCCTATGGCCCAATCACGTACGAGCCGACTGAGGATACCACGTACGGACCAACGGAAGAGACGACGTACGCACCGACGGAGGAGACCACCTATGCCACGACCGAGGAGACTACCTATGGTCCAATTGATGAATCCATGTACGGACCAACTATTAAGCCACATATCGACGCTCCTACAGACGGCCCCACCAATGCACCCATCAATGGACATTATCGACGCTCCTACAGATGGTCCCACCGATGCAGCGACCGATGGACTTACAAATGAATGTGGCAGGAGACTCCGAAGTCGGTGGCAGTGTAGTAGGATGCTGCGTGGTAGGAGGCTGTGTAGTCGGCAGTTGGGTGGTTGGAGGGTTAGGAGTTGGTGGTTGCGAAAGATGAGAATCCTTTAGTGCAATGCTCCGTCACCGCACTGTTGGTGCATTCAGTTGGTCCATCGGTCGCTGCACGGTGGGACCATCAGTAGGAGCGTCGGTATGTCCATCGGTCGCTGCATCGGTGGGACCATCTGTAGGAGCGTCGATAATGTCCATTGATGGGTGCATTGGTGGGGCCGTCTGTAGGAGCGTCGATATGTGGCTTAATAGTTAGTCCGTACATGGATTCATCCATTGGACCATAGGTAGTCTCCTCCGTCGTGGCATAGGTGGTCTCCTCCGTCGGTGCGTACGTCGTCTCTTCCGTTGGTCCGTACGTGGTATCCTCAGTCGGCTCGTACGTGATTGGGCCATAGGATTCCGACGCCACGTCGCATTTGATTCCAAGTGGTGTGCTGAGGGTGGTATTGTAGTTGATACCAGTTGGTGCTTAATCGTACGCCGCAACGGTCTCAACCTCGACAGCAAAAGGTGTATCCCATCTTTGGGAATTCGTCACACGTCGTCGTCTCCGTGAACACACTCAGCATGGACTGGGGCTGTGCGAATAGGTAGCGTCGTGATAGACGGCGACGTGAACGTCAGCAAACGCGAGACCTGCCGTGATGACGCTGGCTAACGCCGCAGCCACAACGGGCTTTGTCGAAGCCACAGGTCGATGTACAGGGGAAGTCGAAGTCACTGTTGCCGCCAAGCAGGAAATTGGGGAATGAGCTTTTGGAGATCATGGACGTAGCGCCATCAAGGAGCGAGGGTAGACAAGACACGATACGAATATCGCGCTAGTTAGTGGCACGTGTGCCAGGTGATGAAGGGCCTTTGATATGTTCCCTGTGGTAGCCGGATTCGTCGTCGTAAGTACGAAAGAATTTCGCGCTAGTTAGTGGCACGTGTGCCAAGTGACGAAGGACCTTTGGTATGCTCCCTAACGCAATGAGAGCAATTGAAGGTTGGTTTTGTGGAAGTTATCTGCGTCGAAGATCCTAAAAACAATATCACGTCGGGAGGTTTAGTAAAGGCAATAAATGCTATCCGGGCCACAGCTTCTTCTTCTTTTTAACTTAAAATGACGCGTTAGTCGGTTCCCGTGCATGCAACGAGCTAAACCAACAGCTCACATTTGCCAGCACGATATCCTTACAACATCGCCCTCTTCAAACTATAAAGCTTGAATTAATTCGAAACGCACTCGCAAGTGTCAATAGAACAAGTCAATGTACTTCCAGACCAACGCATTGCCTTACGTAATGTTACAGATGTTAAGAAGCACTGCGAATGGTCGTGAGAAAGTGCTAAATACCTGCCGTAGGTTTTTTTGACGACGATCGATACTCTTTATTGCTAAGTGGACACGAATGCACCCATTGCGTATTGCTCCAAGGTTTTTTCGCACTGCTGTTACAAAATTTGATGTGAGCACTCAACAATCAGTAGTCGCTGTAGGCAGTTCAATAGAGGGCATTGACGTCTTTACATTCTCTTGTTCCTGCTTCCTTCCGCTGTCGCTACTGCTGCTGTTGGTACCTGGAACAGTAGTCTAGAACACTATTGCATTTAGGAGGCGAGCCATTCTAACCCAAACTACTGCAGAATTTATACTCAAGAACCCAGAATTACTCAAGTTACTCAAACCTTGCAAATGATTCCTGTTGACTTTGATACTAATGTTTTATGAGATTGCGACGGGATAGTCGTACCCAATGGAATGGAGTTTCCCTCCTGATATTACATTCACGTAATTTCTGCTCGCATTTGAAGCAAGATCCTCCCTTGATATCTCTTTCTCGTAGCACAACTCATGCGAAACACGTAAATGTTGCTTGTGGCAAGTGCAATACCATCGGTAAATTACGGGAGACGAAAGTAATTTATGGTGATCAATGTCGTTCGAAGCTACGCTCGACAAGCAGAGATGAAAAGAAACTCGATGGTATAGGGAAAGAAGATAATACACACCTTTGTCCATTAACCTACTCGTTGCTGTAGCCTGCTTACATTTTGGTTTATCATTCTCTGCCATAACCTATCTCCCTCCCTCTCTCTCTCTCGACGTTAAATTATATGGTGATGTGGTTACAACCGAGCCTACATCAAGAAATTTACAACAGCGTCTCTGTACGTTGTCGTAAACTAGTTCGAAAATACTTGGACATCTTTATTTCGTGGAATCATTTGCTTCTTTTCAGGCTGACTTTCAACTCTATCGGGAACAAGCGCGCAGCAACACCGACAAAACTACAGTAAACCGAGTAGAATTTCCGGCTCTACTTGTTCTTACTGAATGAAGATTTGTTCAAATAACCGACAAAGTTACGTTATTTAAAGAGTTCGCTTATATATAATTAAGAGTACTTACAGTAAGTAAGTACAGACAAAATCGCAAAGATTTAGTTGGTGTGCTGCAGAAACTACAGGTTTGCGGAGTACACTACCCGTGGAAGTTTATTCTTCTTGTTAGTAGCACTTGTCAATACTCGACAGGCACCATTTACAAGTTGTTGCTAGGACTGCAGCAATACCAACAGTAATCTAGCATAGAAATCCAGAGCTTCCCTGTGTAAAACACGGCATTAGTCTATTATATTAGTTTGGTATTGCCAGTCAGTTGGTGCCCGATAACGCTAAACACAAATTTTGTTACAAAGCGAGACCCGACATGGTATAATATAGCACGCCGGGTCTAGTTTTGTATACTATGAAAAAGTAACTGGCCATAGTGATATTCACGGAATATTTGATGGGCTGCAGAGCCTAAGCATGTTATTATAGTCTACATGACTGTAAGATATATCCCAAAAACTAGAACTATATTTACTGTTTTGCTGAGGTGCGGGCGACGATGTCATGACGATCTTGAAACATGTTTGAGCCAAGCCAAAGAAAGAGATCTGAAGCTACATCAAATATCGCTCGAAAAACAGTTTCAGCACATATAATTTCAACTCTCGAACGCTTTTGCAGGAAGCTAAAGCTGATGTAAGCTGTGTGACTATGCAGTATTTGTTGATTCTTGTTCAGGAGTTCTGTACAATAGTCCGTACTTCTTAGGATAGCTAGGAAATTATGGTAGAGCTTAGCGCATGTAAAGATCAACACTTTTATTTTTCGTTTTCTGCACAGCAGATTCTCTAGGGCAAAAGACGTCTGACCAATCACGACATAGGTAATCGTTAGATCATAGATATAACTGACTGCAACGTACCTCACTTCGAACGAAACAGCAGCTTCTGCAGCTGCAGACTGGGCAATGGCTCCGGACTTTTAAGAGTTTCGTAAAAGAAAATGATATATCTGGATGACAAAAAACTCCAGATACATCATTTTTTAAAGGCTACGAACTCCCAAGACCATCCTCCGATGTCAGAATGTCTTATAGCTGTTGCAACGGATGCACAACATATTAGAATTTCTCTATCCTCCAGCACAACCGTCTGACCCCC